TCAGTGCCCAACTTTTCTATATAAGGCTTCTTAAATATTTAAGAACATATTAAAACAGCAAAACGTGAAGGAGAAAGAGCAGGTTGGGATTATGTATGGTTTCCTATTTTGGATGATAAACATTAGATCATTTTTAAATGTCAATAAAAAGTAATAAACATGTACAGTGGTTTATGTAAGGCAACCGTGTGTCACTCCAGAAGCAGGACAGTGCTAATCAAGCCTCATGGGCAGTATGAAGCCTTCTGACTCACCACCAGCCCAACAGCACCCAACATTTAAGCCTTCCCGGCTCTGGCTAACATCAAACGCTGCCCCAGTTCCCGCGCATGTGCTCTACCCTCATAAAGGGCAAATTATTTGCACAGAACAGGAGACAAATTATGTTTTCAGAGGCGCAGTCAGTTCTTGTGCAAGCCAAACACAGGCTGTTCTTTAGAAGGGAAAGTGAAGGTCTTAGAAGAGCCAGACTCCCAAGCCACAACACTATGCTTTTCACTTGCCCCCCAACAAATCACTGTTGAGCCAGTTGCAAGGCATTTGCTCAGCCATGACAGTGACTTGCTAGAAATGCAAAGGAGAGAATGGCCACTTATTTCCCAACTGTGCTCTGATTCTGCTAAGAGGCACCATGGCTTGTAATCGATCTGCAAAGAGCAAAATGATCTCATCTTTAAGAAAATCCAGGAGGCTCTGCTGAACCTGAAGTAGAATAAGTGGCTCTCTCCACCTCAATCACAACGCAAAACGTTTCCAGTTTTCTCTGAAAGGACATTTCTACCTCTCACAGAACCAGAGTATCATCTGTCAAATTACGATGACAAGATTCAGCTGGGAGGGCAAGACAGGAAGGAGGAAAAGGCCTCAGTTCACTTCTTCCTGTAGTGGAGGCAGGTCTCCCCACTCTGGCACTGTCACTCTGCCAGACTCTGCATGCGGCTGTCTCCACCCCCTCCCCACCTCAGAAGCCAGGCACTGGGAGAGCTTCCCCAACAAGGAAAGTAGGAGGCAGGCAGAGCTCTGCAGGTCAGATGTGAAGCAGGCACAGCTTGAGGGATTCCAGGGCATACGACATCACAGCTCTCCCTCCACCAAATGGGATCAGGAGCCATTGTGGCTCTCAAGGCCTGTCTGACATAATCAGAATCAAAGCAAAGCTTTTTCTAGGTTCCACTCTGCATAATACAGATTGGGCAAGGGGCGGGTAGAGGGAAAGCAACTGCAATCTGTGTCCTTAAAAGGCTCCCCTGGAGCTGCTGAGCTGATGATCCCCAAGATCCACAGAGCAAGACAGCCCTGCTCCATGACAAGGAGGGTCTGCCTGTCCTCCCAGGAAGATCTGCAAGGGACCAACACTCCAGAGTACTTGACCTGTTTATTCAGGAAGGAGAGCTGGGGAGTGGCTGCCTGCACATCTCCTGACTCCAAAGTGAACCCTACCCTTTCTGCAGGAAAAGGGGTCTGGGCTGGTATGAGCTTGCCAGATTAGTGGGAAGGCAAAGTGTGCAGAAAATTGAAATCCAGGAAGATCGCAGGTGGGGAGGCCCAGCTGCTCTTTAGAAAGGTGTTGAATGAAGCCAAGGTCGTTGCCTCGAATCAGCAAACGACCACAGAACAGCAAGATACCTGCTTTCACTCGCACTCCAGATAAAAGACTTGCTCTAACCACTTCACGGAACACAGGGCATCAACATGAAAGCACAGAGGTTAAGACTAAATAAAACACGAAGTGCTATCCTTTTTCTTCTTTCCATGAAAGTCTTTTCTTTACCAGCATGTTTAGACTGTAAACATCCTGAAGCTGAGTCCTCCCCAAAAGCCTTCTCTTGTTTTCCAGGCTCAGTCAATAGCTCTTTACTGATTGTCAGCATTTCCTCTCCAAGGTGAGGATGCTCAGCTGTTAGCTCCTCTCCTCCAAATCAGCCCTTCCTTTTAGGCCATTGCTCTTTTCTCCTGATGCTTTAAAAAACCAATTTCTAGGACTCAAATGGTAGAACACCTGCCTACCAAGTGGAAGGCCGTGGTTCTAACCCTAGTACTGCCAACCAAAAAAGTAAATAAAATAATGAACTGGAACACCATTTAAAAATTTTTTCTAATATAAAATATTGAAGGATTTTTTTCCCCTGGTATGTTGTCTGGAGTAAGGTACAATTCATATAAGTGAAATTCTATTAGTCACCCGATGCTCTATGACTATCCAAGCATGGATTTGAAAGCAATGAAGCCCAGAGGCAAAGCAGGTACAACTACAGAATCGGCTCTCAGACATACTAGTGCTCTTAGGTTTTGGTGCCATGCTGGCAAATCTCAAGTAGTTAATTTTGGTAAAAAAAACTCTTCTTGAGTTGGTCCCATTTGTCTTCAAAATCTAAGCAAGTGGGGCACAGAGATCAGTAATCCAATAATTTGGAGGTGGGGACTACACAAAGATTTTCAATTATTCCAGCCTGCACTCTTCGGTTCCATAAAAATTCAAGCCACTTCTGACTTCTCTTATTAGGACACTCCACACAGTTCTTTCCTTGCAACTGGTGCTAGCACAGTGACCTTCAGAAACACTCTTGTATTCTCTGTCCCTTTATCAGTAAAATAAAGAGACTGAACTAAAACACTAAGTCCCTTTCAGCCTGAAAATTCTGACTGTGAAAATTTCAAATCAACTTTTCCAGTCTAGAACCTCTGATTTAGTACTTAGTAGTTTTATTTTCTGTTGGCGAGAATAATATTAACTCATCCTGGTTGGTTGGTTGGTTGGTTTGTTTGTTTTCGTGTTAAACAGGCTTATGAAACCACAGTCTAACCCATCCACTGGGTGGGTACAGGAAGATCCCAACTTGCTAGGTAAGTTTCACAAAGTGCTGGCGACCGATCTATGTGCTCAAACTTGATCATCACCCCGAACAAAGGGTGCCTGCAGATCCTGACTGTCCCTATAACTACAGGAAGGAGGCCTCAAAAATAGAGTTGCACACCACACTAAAGATCTTCTACGTCCATGCAGTCTGCAGTAAGAGGGTTGGTCTGAAACCAGCAAGTTTCACCCAGTAATGGATTGAACAGATACAAAAAAGTATATATAATTATGCCCATCCCAGCTAATTACAAGCCTCTTGTGCACATTTTCAGGAATAAATATACAATTAATTTCTTGTAAATGTACACTGCTGAATGTGCACTGTCTCACTGCTGGATGCCAGCGTTTTATCAATATTTTTAAGGGAAAAAAAAGTGCAGGCTGGTGGGGTAATTCAGTAGTAGACTGCTTGCCTACCGTTCTCAAGGCTCTGGTTCAATCCCCAGCATCACAAAAAAAAAAAAAAGAAAGAGAAAAGGTATGTAAAAATGAAGGTACACAGATCTTTCTTCTAAAATAATGCTCTAGAGCATTTTTAATGCAGTTTTTTTTAATCTTTAAAATAATTTACCAGTTTTTACTGCTTTTATTTTTATTTTTATTCTTTTCCAGACAGCAGTTAATATCACTCTTTAAGAATATTTATTTTTTCAAATATTTTGTTTTGAAAGGTTCGAATCCACAGAAATTAAGTCAAAATATTAATAATAATTTTCACTCATTATATTTTGAAATGAATGCGTTCTATCCAAATGTATATTTTCAAATTTTCATGCCCTTCACTCCAAATTTATCCCCAAATTTATTTTATTTTCTTGGGAAAGGAGGTTTATTTTGTTTTTTTCAGGGTATGCAGCCCAGGCTGGCCTGGAACTCTTGATCCTCCTGCCTCAGCCTCCAGAGCTCTGGGATTACAGGTGTGCATCACCTGACCCAGCTTCATTCCAAATTTATATTTTAAAATTATTCATGCTCTTAAAAATGAAGTATACCCAGTGTCAGTGGCTCACGTCCGTAATCCTAGCTACTTAGGAGGCTGAGATAAGAAGGATGGAAGTTCGAGGCCAGCCAGGGCAAACAGTTCGTGAGACCCATCCCCAAAATAACCAGAGCAGAATGGGCTGGAGGAGTGGTAGAGCGCCTGCGTTGCAAGCTTGAAGCCCTGAGCTCAAACCCCATCCCACCTCCCCCTCCCCCTCCAAAAAGGAAATATATATATGGCATACATCTGCTGTACTCACAAAAGTGTTACTCCTCGGTTATTTGTATACCGGAAGCGAATCCTAAAGCGTTTTAATACCATAAGGAAGGAAATGAATGCCATTAGAAAAACATACCTATCTTTCTCTTTCTCTCCAGTGTGAGGCAATGTGTCAAGGCAATGGCAAAGTACGAGACGACAGTCCCGGAATCTCTAATCCAGAAACTGCCTGGGAGAGGAGCGCCTTGTTTAACAAGTCACACAAGAAAACCTTCTTACTGAAAGCAGTTTCAAACAATAATTTTAATTTTAAATACAAAAACAAAACAGAACTGTGTTTACATCAACCTCCTGAGTCACTCTATGCCCGAGCCCGCAGGGCAAAGTCAAGCTGACCCTCACCCAAGGTCCGGAACTTGAAGGTGAGATTCCCGGGAGCCCCCGCCCTGGCCTGGGCGGCCCCTCGCGCTGCAGGTGCGCGATCCGCGGGGGCAGTCGGCGTCTGGGGATCGGAACTCCGGGCGGGCGGCCGGGAGGCTGCGGCGGAGCCTGGCCGGGGCCTGGACTGCTGGGCGGGCCGGCCACCCTTCCCCGGGACCCGAGACCCGGCGAGCCGCAGCCCCAGCCACCGGCCCTCCAACCCTCGAACCGAGCCGGTGAAAGGGACCCGGCGTCACCGTGCGGGTCGCACCTCCCCCGGGGTCGCCACTTCCCGGGCCACCGCTCGGTGGCGGTTCTGGGGAAGGAGGGACTCGCCCGGAGCCGCAGGAGCCGTTGGCAGAGCTGCAGACGTCCCTGGTGTGGGGGTCATATGCCGCCCCGAGGGCCGCGCGTCGGCGGCGACCGTCACCTTCCTCCAGCGCCCGCGCGCCAAGTCCCCCATGCCCGCGGCCCGGCCCGCTCGCCTAGCCGCCGTCGAGTTGGGCCGCGAACCCGACTCACCTTGGGGCCCTCGAGGGGCACGCGCGGATCGTTCCACGTCGTGGTGCGGCTGTTATGGTCCACGAAGAATGGCCAGCCGGTTTGGGGGTCGATCTTGATCTCCCACCCAGGGGGCAGTGGGTCGCGGTCGCTGGCGCCGTTGCCGGACGCCATCTGCACCATGGGCGAATGGGTGGCAGCGCTCATGTTGGGTCGGGGTCCGCCCGAAGTGGCCGGGTCGCGGGGTGCCGGCACCTCTTTGCTGCGGCGAGGAGTGAGAGCCCTGCGCGCCGCCGACGTGTCCGGGAAGCCGGCGCCGGGCACCTTTATGAATTAAAGGAGGGGGTGACGTGGCCGGAGAGGGGTGGAAGTGTCTGGAAATAGCCTCCGCGCTGCCAAAGGGGAAGGAGGAGATAAAGGGAGGCAGCAACTGGCCGGCTAGAAACTTCTAGTCCCATCCAGAGAAGTTGGCGGCCACCGCGGGTTGGATGCGGAGCTCCACCCTGAGTCATCGGCTATAATCGTGGCGCGGCGCGGCGGGGCGGGGCGGGGGCGTGGCCTCGGGTGGCCTTGCTCTCCTCCCTCCCCCGAGCTGTCCGGCGCGCGCCCGAGAAAAGAGGGCGCTCGGTGCTGGACTCGGCGCATATCGGCGTCCTCCGTGCGTCCTGGCGGGTTTCGGTCGCTGGACTCGCCGCCACGCCTTCGCGCCACGTGGGCCTTCCCGAGGCTGGCGGGCCGCGCTCCGGGTGCCCGCTGCCTGGCCTTTGTATGAGGACGAAATCATCTTCAAGCTGGGGCTGGGGGGTCGTCTCGCTCACACTCCCCACACCCCGGCACACTGACGCTGGGGCCAATGGCGTCCCGCAGTTGCCTTTTAATCACTTCCTCCAAAGGGCTTAAGGGCTCTCTGGGAGGAGCTCTGGAACACTGATCTGACAACCATAACAAGCCAGGGAGAAATCTTGCAAAGCTGAAGAAGAAAGATTCCATCATTTCATGGGTTTATTCCTCTTTGCGTCTCTAATACAGACACTTACAGTGCAATGACCAAGTTCAAAGAAAAATCACATTCTTTGGGATTTGGATCTTTTTCATGGTAGAAGTTGATTTTTGCTCTCTTAAATCTGGACTCTTAGGGACTAAACTAAACCCATGAAATTTTTTTCTCTGGTTGACTTGATGGTAAGTGCCCTCTTAACCCCATTTAAGCACCCCATTTCCCAATGTACTCCAGAAAGAATGTGTTTGGGAGGCTCCAATTTAGTTCCTTAGGCCCGCTGTTTCCCTCAGAAACATCTTGAATTAATAGTGGGCCCAATTTCCCTTAGAGAATGTTCTGGAACCTTCAGTGACAACACTTCTAGCCTTTTCTGTCCCAGATTATTCTTTCTGGATCAAATCCTAGAGAGGTTTACTAATCATTTCTAAGGGAATGAGTTCTACTTAAAAAGGTCTTTTTTGAAGTTCAAAATACCCATTTTATAAAAGTACAGAGGTGATTAGGCTTGGGCACTGACACAGGTCCCCACACTAGGGACTAATATATAAGCCCAAATGCCAGCATACTAATTTATCATAAATACTACTTTGGGGGCTGGAGTTGTGGCTCAACCAGTAGCACACCTGCCTACTAGCTTGAAGCCCTGAGTTCAGACCCCAGTACCACCTCCCCAAAAAAGAAGTTAGTACATATATATAAATGGAGGGCTGGTACTGGGGTTCGAACTCAGGGCATTGCACTTGCTAGGCAGGTACTCTACCACTTGAGCCGCTCAAGCAGCAGAAATACTACTTTTGAAAAGACTGGACCTTCAAGTTCACTGATTAATGTCTGTCTTATGCTTCCTTATATCTAGAGCCCTGAGCACAAGGCTGGGTCCAGTGTCTATATTCAGAAAATGTTATGTATATTGAAGGTTGAGCCCAAACTTTTTCCTTCACCCTCTTGCTTTCCACTACAACCACAATTTAAACACTGAGCAATCTTTGCTGCCCCCATCCCAAACAGGGAGGAAACAGGTTCCTCTACGATTAATGGAGCTGCTTCTGAGGACTGTACTGTATACTCCATTGAGACTTCGAATGGGTTTCTCTAAAAATGGGGCCACAAGGCTTGGAGAGCTGGCTGGAAGAATATCCTCTGAGCCATGCTGAAGAGCCTATAAATTTTTTTCCTTCCAGTCTTTTTTTTTGTGTGCTTTGTTTTTGGTGGTACTTGGGTTTGAACTCAGGGCCTCATGTCTGCTGCAAAGGCACTCTACCACTTGAGCCATTCTACCAGTCCCTTTTCCTTCCAGTCTTAATGATACTTGTTCTATAGGCCTCTCAGAGTTCATTTGTCCAGGTCAGAGCTCAAGCAAAACCCTGTATTCCATAAATATTTGTGTGCAAAAAGTATTGTCTCTCTTCAGTGCCACCAACCTGTCCAGGTCACCCTCACCTCTCATCTGGACATAGCCTCCTAATGGATATCCCAGCCTCTAATCTTGTCTGTCTGTAATCCCTGGCCCACATGGCAGCCAGAGTGGCCCTTTCAAGCACAAACTGAATGTTGCCCTTTCTTCTTTAGTTAGAATCCTTTAATCCCTCCCATTTCTGTATCCAAATCCACACTCCTCAAGCCAGTGTACGCAGAGCCCTCCCTCCCTCAGCAGGGTGCATACACACAATGGACACACCGCTTTGTCCACTGAATAGCCCTTCTCTCCTACCCTGACCCCCTCTTTGCCTGAACAACTCCTTTTCATTGTCAGGTATCACTTGTGGCATCATCCTCTTCATCCAACCAGCCTGTTCTGTGCCCCCTTCCAGTTGCACTGCATTGTAATTTCTTTTGATTGTCTGATTCATGGATTGAGTTTCTTGAGGGCAGGAACAGAATCTTGATCACCGTTGTGTCCCCATCCTCTAGCACAGTGCTGGACAAATAATAGTTATTGGAGTGACAACAATCGTAACAGCTACCATTTACTGGGTAATTACTGCATGCCAGGTACTTTAAGGGTTTTATGTGATTATCGTGTTTAATCTTTATGGTGGGAGCTGTGATGTGCTATCCAGATCTCTTTCCAGGAATGAGGCACTTTATCTGCTGCCGGGAAGACTGCGCGAAGAGGTCAGGACCCATCTCTTTTGTCCTCCCCTCAGCCTTAGGAGAACCGAGCTTTCATTAAACCCATTGTGTGGCTGAGGAAACATGCTTTGAGATCTCTTCTCAACTCAAGTTCACAAAGACCAATCTCAGCTGTCATTTGGGGACCAGCTCGGCTGAGGAGAACTGCCTTGCCCAGGGTCCCACTTCCTGCTGGGGCAACCTACATCCAATGACTGATCCATTGAGGAGCCTTTGGCCCAGCTCTCTTGGTCCAACTCAGAATAGAGCTAATGGACCATCGCAGTTCCAGAGCACCCTTTGGAGTTGGCTGCTGTTTTCTTTGGGACTGCATTACAGCTCAACTCATTCCTGTGTAATTCAGAAAGAGAATTCCTGACCACGTCCTGCTTGCTCACAGTCTGCTTCCTAAGAAACCTGATGCTCTCAGTGGTTTTCTGGTTAGGTATTACCCTGATTTTCCTTTTACCTGTTAGAGATACTAACATAAAGCTTTAATTGGTGGTGGAGGTGGGATTTGAATTTAGGCAGTTGACTCTAGAGCCCACACTACTAATCTGGCACTCAATACCAATAGCTTAGTCACTAGGGGAAAAAATGTAAAACTTATAATTGAGGAACAAAGCTGTGTCCACACAATTTCCCTCAATGCTCAAGAAGCAAGAGCAGCAGCCAGCCACTAGGAAGATTACAAATCAGCCTATCAATGATGTGTCATAGCCCGGCTCACAGACAAAAGACTTAAGCTCAGCCGTGATGGTGATTTTTGAATGAAAATGTCACCCAAAAGATTTCCATGTCTGGATGATTTAATCCATTTCTAATGGAACATGAGCTGGCACAGAAGAATAGCCAGTTCTCCCCATCAGTGCAAAACACTGATTATCCCAAGTCATTTTTTGTTTGCCTTTGGGGTGTTATCAGAAGTTTCCACATGTAGCCAGGCACACTTTCCCCAGCCATCAGTTCCCAGGCAGCCCTTCCACAATGAGCAGCCTAGACAAGCAGAGGCCAGGGCACCTGGAAGAAATGGATGGGCCAGTGCATGGGGAGAGAGGACCTAGAGGCGGTAGGTGTTAGCACAGAGCGGGGAGGAGATGTCTGGTCTGGCTATGCCATGAAGACTCCGATGATGGGTTCTATTAATACACCCTGGTGGAGGTGGAGGGGGAAAATCAATATGGCTTAGCTGCAGTGCCTCAGATTGCAGCACTAACTTTGCATCTGTTTGTCATTAAAAGTTAAAGTCTGTGCATGCCTGAGCCCAACCTCCCCATGCTCTCTGACCTCATGTGGCAGGTACATCCTGTAACAAGCATCTGGGTCTTTAATCATAAACTCTTCTGTTTTGCAATTTAACTGCCTGCATTCTTCCCTGAAAGGACACAGGAGCAGTCTAGTGGTAAAAGTTGTTTGGTTTTGTTTTGTTGATAAGGAAAAGGGGAAGGGGTGGGGATGAGGGGCAGTGGGAGCCCTGAGGAGAGGGCTGGGCAAGCAGAAGCAGAGCCAGGGTTCTACAGAAGAACAAATCAGAAGGAGAATCACACTAGAGGTGGAGGTGACTTCAGGCCAGGCTGGGTCTGGTGGGAGAGAGCTGAGCCTGCAAGGGCAGATGATGGGGTAGATCTCTTCAGGTCAGCAGCAAGGTAAAGGCTTGTCGAAGTGTGGTCAGCAGCTCTTGGATATGGAGGCACTGTTCTTTGCTCCCCACCCCCATCCTGGACACTCTCAGGAATATTCAGCTCAACAGCAGGGGGAGGATGGCTCCACTGGTTTTAACCGACAACACATCCAAGCCAAGTACGGTGGTGTGCCTGTAATCCCGGTTACTTCAGAGACAGGAGGCAACATAGTGAGACCCCTTGTCTCAGAAAAACAAAAATAGATAAGTAAGAGAGCCATTCTGCAAGAATAACTGCCTTCTGCCACTCCCAGGCCTCAGACCCAGTATATCCCAACCTGTTCTCACTCCCATCTCCTAATCTAAAAAAAGTAAAAAAAAAAAAAGAAAAAATAGGCACTGTGCTAAGATTGTAGCGACTCATTTATCCGCCCAACAACTCTAGGAGGCATGGCCAGTTTAAAACTATTGTATGAATGAAGAGCAGGCTTGAGATATTGAGACCTTGCTCAGGTTCACATAGCTAAAAGCCAGGATCTGAAAGCAGGTCTATCTGCTTTTCTGACATGTACTTAAAAAGACTAAACAGCCTCTGCATTTTCTGCTTTTGCTTTCTACACCAGTCCTAGCTGAGAGGCTGCATTGGGTTGAATTCATGCCCACCTGGAACCACAGAATGTCACCTTACTTTGAAGATGTGACCAAATCAAAATGAGGTCATACTGGATTAGGGTGTGCCTTAACCCAGTGACTGATGTC